TTGCTGTGAATTAAAATCTCTCTCTCTATACATCCAATCATATATATGTTTTGTTTGACATGGTTTATTCTTACTGGTGAATGTTTTGATTTCTCAAGGGGCCTGAATCTTAATGCAGGAATTTAGTGACACTCTTGCATATATTGCAAGCATTCGTTCCAGAGTGGAGCCCTATGGATTGTGCCGTATTGTTCCTCCTCCCTCTTGGCAGCCACCATGCTGTCTTAAGGAAAACAACATATGGAAGAGTTCTAAATTCATTACCCAAATTCAATGGGCTGATGGGCTCCAACATCAATACTCGTCGAGCAAAATGGGTAATTTTTCTGAAATTAGTTCCATTAAGAGAAAAAGAAGCTTCAGTACAGGATTTGAGCAAGGGATTGATGGTATACATCCTCTGACTGATGAAGCGGGTTCCTCTAATATTGAGGGATTTAAACCAAAAACTGGTCCAGAGTTTACACTTGAAAGTTTCAAGAAATATGCAGATGATTTCAAGGCCCAATACTTCAGCATGAGGGCTAAGGTTTCAGGTGGTGATAAAACTTTTGTATTTCAAAACAATTTGGAGCCATCGGTAAACGAAATTGAGGCTGAATATAAACGAATTGTTGAGAATCCAAGTGAAGAATTTGAGGTATGGTGGATAAAAGATGTATCGGGCTTCTGACTTGTTTTCTATTGTTTTATTTGATGGCTTATATCTTTGATTCATTATGTCGGTGTTGTCTCAGGTGCTTTATGGTAACAATGTGGATACTGGAGTTTTTGGCAGTGGATTTCCATCAATATCCAATCTGTCGGAAACATCTGACTATCATAAATATCTAGAATCAGGCTGGAACTTAAATAATACACCAAAGCTTCCTGGTTCTCTTCTTTCCTTAGAAGATGCTAAGATTTCAAATTTGTTAGTGCCTCATCTGCAAATAGGGATGTGCTTTTCATCCTTATCTTGGGTAAGAACACAATCCTTTGTTGCTTGGAAACTTTATATTCAATTATGTTCTTTTAGAAAGATGGGAAACTTTATGGTTCTTCTTTGTATCTCATATGTCGGCCTAAATTATCAACTGCATGTGCGTGCCAATGAACCATAAAGAAATAGAAGCCTGCATCTTGAATGTTTTTCCTCCTGTGCAGAATGAATAATGAATGAAGATGGCCATGTCTCTTTTCTAGACCTAATTCATCTTTTGTAATCAATTTTGGAAACAGAGAGTTGAGGAGCACCACTTATACTTACTCTCTTATATGCATTTGGGTGCACCTAAAATATGGTATGCTACCCCTGGAAGATACAATACTAACTTTGAGGCCACCATCAGGAAGTTCGTCCCAAATTTGTTAGCAGATCAGCCTGGCTTGGATCATAAGCTGGTAAGCAATCATATGGTTTAATGCAAGAATAAGGTTACTGTGCAGTATCATATTTGGCCCTGCTGTAATTATAAATTTCTAAAATGAGCCCTTTGGCAAGGATGTTTCTTAAACCTTTCAGGGGTCTTATGCTCTTGGTTAAAGTGAAGGGTCTTATGCTGTATAAAACAATCTGCAATTTTACCGC